TCTCTCTGCTCTAGCTCTTTCCTCTCTCTTTCCCAGCCACGTGGAGTGCCAACCTTGCCTGGTCCCAGCAGGTCCACTGAATAAACCTACCCCTTACCTGAATACCACGTGAGTGCTACTGTTCTTACCCCTCTCTCTGCTCTTTTCTAGCTCTTTCCTCTCTTTCCCAGCTCTCTCTCCTTCCCAGGCCTTTCCCAGCCACGTGGAGTGCCAACCTTGCCTGGTCCCAGCAGGTCTACTGAATAAACCTACCCCTTACCTGAATACCACGTGCGTGCTGCTGCAGTTCTTACTCAGCAACCTCTTTTTAAAAACCTAACACAAAGGACCTCCACTCATTTGGTGAATCATTACTAAATGACCCCATGCTGCTGACCACATATATGGTATATATGTGCACACCAGAGGGAAACTAGGAAGAGGACACAGAACTAGAGGGAATCAGGGGAAAACATACAACAGCGGGACCCATCAGCTGCACTGGACATTGATCAAAATGAGCTAAGCAAACTCAATGGCAGCGATGGAAGGGAGGGAATGAGTGGGAAAGAGGGAACAGCTGACACTAAGCAAAAGGAAAGGAATGTACACATCACCCAATGTGGAAGAAATAACTATTGTCAAAGCCCATAGAACTCATAAACTTTATAGACCACAATAGACAGTCTGCCCCATGAAAGTTAGAATGTGTTTGTGACGTTAACTAAGCATCACTATGCAACAATACTGTGAAATTTGTGAAATTATGTAATCACTTAATCACAATAAAGAATTTGGAAAAAAAAATGTGTATGTTCTAAGTAAATGAAATAAGTGGAGGTGTGGCTCAAGCAGTTAAGAGTGCCAGCCTTGAAAAATGCCAAGCAAGAATACAGGCCCTGAGTTCAAGGCAAAAAACAAAACAAAACAAAAAACAGAAAGCAAAAACCAGCCTGTCTACTTTCCTTCCCCTGCTTTACTCCTCCCTCCCCCACCAGATCAGAACACCAAGATGGAAGTTAGGACAGACAGGTAATGCTACCTTGCCCCAGAAAAGAGAAAACTTTCTTACTGGAAAAACTTACACCTCTGACTTTTTCTCCTTTTCTCAAACCTTGTCATGGCACGCTCTGCCCCAAGCTATGCCCACTTGACTCAGCCTTCAGTGCAGGCCAGGCTGTAAGAACCAGGCTTCATCTTCATCTGCTTTGGTGGCCTAGACAGTGCTCCCTCTTGAGTCTGACCCACTTCAGCTAAACCCCTCTGTGGAGCACATGGGCAGCCAAGATGGCGCTGGGAGGGGGTTGAGTGGGCAGAGCCTAATTTACTATAGAGCACATGGGCAGCCAAGATGGCGCTGGGAGAGAGTAGAGTGGGCAGAGCCTAATTTACTATAGAGCACATGGGCAGCCAAGATGGCGCTGGGAGAGAGTAGAGTGGGCAGAGCCCAATTGATCTTCCGATCAGTGCCTAACCAGCCCGTGAAGGCTCAGGTGCACAATAGGGTGTGACCTTGACAGTGACTAGTTCCTCTTCCTCCCTTGCCATGCCACCCGCCCTTTTTGTCTTTAAAAAGGGCTGCTCTCTGTTAATAAACGAGTTTTCTACCTGCTGGATTTGGCTCCCCGTTGTGCTTGATTGTCTCTCCTCGGACCCCGTCCGTCTTTCATGGGACGGACGAAGACCCAACACCCCTTCTCAGTGGAGACCCCCTCCGGTTGACTCCTGAATACCCCCAGATGCCTGAGAAGGTTGCATGTACTGTGAAACAAGCCATTGTTTTGGCAGTGCCCACTCCTTGCAGGTTGCTCATACCCAGAGAGGTTCCTAAGGAAAAGTGGCCTATGCTTTCCAGAATTCACCTGGGCAAGACCTCACATACACAAATCCAGCGATCTGAGAACCACAGCCTACAGGAAGAGATGTCCAAGGCCTGGAAAAGGGGGACAAAGAATCCTGGGAGTATGGAGAAAAGGATACTGCAGAAAGCTTCCCTAAGGAACCTCCCAAGCTGCAGGGAAGCAGCCCTCAAGGAGTTGGAAGCCAAGTACCAGTGGCTCACGCCTGTAGTCCTAGCTTCTCAAGAGGCTGAGATCTGAGGATCACAGTTCAAAGCCAGCCTGGGCAGCAAAGTGTATGAGATTCTTATCTCCAATGAACCACAAAAAAAAAAAAAAAAAAAAAAACCAGAAGTGGTGCTGTGGCTTAAGTGGTAAAGCCCTCGCCTTGAGCTGAACAGCTCAGAGACCAGTGCCCAGGCCCAGAGTTCGAGCCTCATGCCCGACAAAAAAAAGGGGGGGAGGGGAGTTAAAAGCATAAGAGAATTACTTGAGGGTAATGACAGAGAGAGTGGAAAGAGGGAGCAGGGATGGGTAGGAGAAGGATCCAGAAAGTAACGCTGCTCTGACCCCCGTGGAAGGGGAGGGAAGAAGCAGTCAGTGGGAAAAGCCTCTATCAGCCCAGAGGCTCTGACATCTACATGGCCATGGAAGCCAATACCGACGGCTCCGCCTGGAATCCTAGCCACTCAGGATGTTGAGATTTGAGGATCACAGTTCAAAGCCGACCGGGCAGGAAAGTCCATGAGACTTTTTTTTTTTTTTTTTTTTGGCCAGTCCTGGGGCTTGAACTCAGGGCCTGGGTGCCATCCCTGAGCTTCTTTTGCTCAAGGCTAGCACTCTACCACTTGAGCCACAGCACCACTCCCAGCTTTTTCTGTTATGTGGTACTGAGGAATCTAACTCAGGGCTTCATGCTAGGCAAGCACTCTTGCCACTAAGCCACCTTCCCAGCCCAATCATGAGACTCCTTGCCTCCAACTGACCCACAAAATCACTGAAGTACAGCTGTGGCTCAAGTAGTAGAGTACCAGCCATGAAATAAAACGCTGAATGAGAGCTCAAGGCCATGCATTCAAGCCCCAGTGTAGACACACACACACACACACACACACACACACACACACACACACACACACACACACACACACACACACACACACGGAAGGGGCCCAATTTGATAGAAATGGGGAACCCATTCCTAGCAGTCTTGGAATAAATTCTGGGCAGCTCCCACAGGCATTACAGCTGGAACACATCCACCACTCACCCTCCCACAGCAGGCCTGCTCTTCATGAGTGAGATGTGGCTGAGACTGCTCCAGAACCGCTAAGGCTGGACGAGATGGGGTAGAGAGGATACATTAGCAAAGGCCCAGAGGCAGGAAAGCACAAGACAGTTTGGGAATCGTGAGAACATCCATTTGTCTAGAACAAGGGATTGATCAGTACCCTAGAGAAACAGAAGATCAGGTCAGTGTGGACTGAATGGACTTGGAGTGGACTTGGCCTTGGCTGAAGGTTTTGGGTGGAGACAGGTCTGAGGTCAGCCCTGCTTTTGAGAGGAACCACGGATGGGAAGTCTGGGGTCAGGGGAGACAAGGGTCAGGAGACCCTCAGAGAAGCCATGGCCAGTGACACAGGCAAAATGGATTCTGGAAGGTGTCAGCATCCAATACTAGGTGTAACCTTGGCCTTGAGGAAGCCAGTCACAGTTCCTTAGCCAGAACCAGGAAAGAGGAACCCTTCGTTGTGCTGAACATGGGAGCCAGACCCAGCAGACAGACCACGGGAGTTGGTCTGGTTGAAAATATCTAGAGGGTAGAGGGCTGGATTCCATCTCCCAACTCCTGGAAAGGAAAACTGGTGGGGATAGGCAGGAGCCTTAGATTTGGGGACAAGCTAGGTTGTCCTCCTTGGGGGAGGGTCCAGAGCACTCACATCCAGGGACAGTCCTATCTGTTTGTGAGGCCCCTTCCCCTCCACCCTCCCAAACTGGCAGACCCACCTTCTTGGTGACCCCAGAGCTAGCACAGCCTGTTCCTTCCGGCCGATCCAGCTGCCAGCCCCCCACCCAGACCCACCCCAACCTTATTCTCCAGTATTTTTCAAAGGAGTCCAGCCAACACAAATCCACATGTTTGTTTGTCTGCCTGTCTGCCTCTCCCAATCTCTGCCTCTCCCTGACTCTCAGCTTCCGTTTCTTGTAGTCAAGTCTCTGAGGCCTAAAACCCACAAGGCCTTCCCCGCCTGTGGAACCAGTCAGTGAGCTCCTGGCCTTTCTCCAGCCCCTAGATGGCATAGAACTACAAACTCCAGCATGCATTTCTGCCCAAGGTGCCAAGAGTGTATTTCATGTGTGCCCCTTTGCATTCTGGGAATTGTAGTTTTCCTGCCCTCATACTCAAGGGGCTTCCAAGCTTCCCCCCCCTCCCCCCAGGGGCCCTCCTGCCTCTGCCCTGATTGGCAGGTCTTTTTTTCTTCTGACCCGCTGCCCCATGGAAGCATGCGTCATTGGATGACAGAGTGGGTGTGGAGGCCCTGGATGGCAGCTTCCTGCCCTTTTGTGGCCCCCATTTGAGTCATGGGGAGTGGGGGTTCCAGGAAATTGAGATGGGGGGAAGGGATACCCTAATGCTAGTCACAAGGACAAAGGGTCTCTGCATCCTTATTGGGCTGTATCCCTCCAAGAAGCCCCTCAAAACAAAGATCCTGAAGGAGATGGTGAAGACGGTTCTTGGTAAGCCTAGAGGTCCCTGTGGTAACTAGGATTCCATCACCCTGTCTACTAGCACTGTGCTCCACATCTACCCCTTGTGGTGTGACCCTAGCGAAGCATCTTTCTGACTCTGGTTGCTCTTACTGCCCCCCCCCCCCCCCAAAGCCACCCCCACCGCAGTGCAGTTCCTGCACTCCAGGCCCAGGTCTCCACAGGACACCTGGGTTCCCACGTACCAGCTCTAGCCCTCATGACGGAGCCCAGGCGTCCGGCCCCCCACCCTCTGGGCCAGCGGGCATGGAGCCGAGGCTTCAGAGCCTCGCAGCAGCCTTGTTCCTGTCCCATTGTGTATGAGGCAGGGCGGGGCGAGGGCCAGCCCTGGAGAGCCCCCTCCCACTGCACCCTCCTTGCTTCCTAAGGAAAAGGCCAGGGCTCTGCTCAAGCAGACAGCCGAGCTGACGCGCCGCTGACATGGGCAACCTGAAGAGTGTGGGCCAGGAGCCCGGGCCACCCTGCGGCCTGGGGCTGGGGCTGGGCCTCGGATTGTGTGGCAAGCAGGGTCCGGCCACTCCTGCCTCAGCCTCAGCCTCAGAGCCCGGGCGGGCACCAGCATCCCCACCCCCGACCTCACCCGCGCCAGACCACAGGTGAGAAAACCCCATGACTGGAAGCAGGTGGGCAGGAGGGCTGCGTGTTCACCTGAAGCCAGGGCTAGGCAGGCCCAAGAGAGATCCTCAGTAAATATATATATATATATATATATATATATATATATATATATATATATTATTGTTATCATTATTATTATTAGTGTGGCCAGAGCAGGACTGGCTGGAAGACTCTGGAAAGAGATCGGGATCGAGGCTGGCGTGACGGGTCAAAGTCGGAAGTATGGGGCCTGCTCTAGAATTGGGCCAGGGCTCAAATGCTGTTTGGCTATCAAGAGCTGTTTGACTTCAAACAACTTGCTTAATGTCTCTGAGCCTCTGTTATGGAAAATGGAGTCTTCTTAGTATCCTTACCCCATGGCCTGTACATTTCTAGCTTACAAGCCTTCAGCAAGTAGTGGTGGTGATTCATTAACCTGGGGGGGGGGGGGGGGGGGAATGAGACAGAAGCTGGGGATGAGCTTCTTGTTGAGTGAGAAAGTGGGGTGTCATGGGACGGGGAGCAAGCTGGCTCAGGAGTCTCAGGTCCAATGCTCCCACATAGGGCTGAAGGCCAGGCTCTGCCGCTCAGGCAGGCGCAGCATGATCCGAGTCCCTCCCTTCCTCCCCGGCTGGCTGGTAGCTCTGGGAGGAAGTGATAAGGCCTCCAAGGCTTCCCTTCACACAACGCTACTGTCAGGAGGGGTGTGAGTGGGAGGAAAATCAGAACGGAGGAATCCCTGCTAGGCTTACCCTTAGCGCAGGCTCTGGGCTCTGTTACCCCTTCAGAAGGGCCTATGCTTTCGTTCATTTTACATTGCTACGGCCTAGAGGTCCGGATGACTTAGAAAGAGTAGAGGTTGGCTGGGTACAACGACTCATGCCTGTAGTACCAGCTCAGGAGGCAGAGATTAGTAGACTCAAGGTTCAAGGACAGCTTGAACAAAAAGGTAGACTTTATCTAGACCAAAAAACTGGGCATGGTTGTATGCTTGTGATCCACCAGAAGTAGAACTGTGACTCAAGCGGTAGAGCACCAATCCTGAGTGGAAACAAAAACAAAAACAAAAACCTGAAAGACAGAGCTCAGGCCCCAGCACTGGCACTGAGAGAGAGAGACAGAGATAGAGACAGAGACAGGGAGAGGGAGAGGAAGAGGCAGAGGGAGAGGGAGAGAGAAAGAGGGAGGAGGAGAGGGCGAGAGAGAGAAAGAGAGAGAGAGAGAGAGAGAGGTTTATTTTGCTCCTAGTTCTAGAAGCTAGAGATCCCAGAGCGAGCATGGTGTTGGCTCTGCTCAGTCCCTGACCAGCGCCTCATGCCGCAGCCTCTCATGGTGAGAGATCACATGGTAAGACAGAGCCAGTGGCCGCGCATGTTCTTCTAACAAAGCCACTTGCACTGACCCATGGACCCATCCATGAGAGCAGAGTGCTCTCACTGCCATCAACTCCAAAGATCCCACCGCTCAACTCTGCTACACTGAAACCCACATGGCCACCATGTGAAACGAGGTGGGAAGAGCACATTCAGCTCATGGCAGCACCTCAGGTGCAAAGGTCAGCATGGACATGGAAGGAGGACCCGGCGGGGACTGGCACTCAGGAGCTAGGCCCTGACAGGCCCAGGCCACTATAGTCAGAGCTCAGACTGTCCCTGCGTACTCCAGATGGGTGGCCTTGGATCCCTGGTCAGCAGGCCCTCCTCCTAACCTGGGGTGCCAGCCGATGCGTCAGGAAGCAGACAGAAAGGCGGTGATAAAGCAGTGGGGTCACTGATGCTGTAGGAGGGGGCCTCAAGGCTGTACGCTCCCCCCACACAACTCCCTCCCTGGCTTCCAACAGCTCCCCGCTAACCCGGCCACCAGAGGGGCCCAGGTTCCCTCGAGTGAAGAACTGGGAAGTGGGCAGCATTGCCTATGACACCCTGTGCGCCCAGGCTCAGCAGGTGAGATGGGCTCACCGCGGGCGGGGGGGGGGGGGTGCTGGGAGGGGCGGCTTCCTCACGCCACCCTGCTCTGAATCTGCCCCGTCTCCCAAAAAGACAAGGAGCCGGGCACCTGCGGCTCACGCCTGTCATCCCAGCTACTCAGGAGGCTGAGATCTGAGGCTTGCAGTTCAAAGCCAGCCCAGACTCTTCTCTCCAATTAACCACTCAAAAACCAAAGTGGTGCTGTGGCTCAAAGTGGTAGAGCACTAGCCTTGAGCAAATGAGATCAGGAACAGCACCCAGAGAGAGACATTGTGGGGGGGGGGGGAGGGGGGGAGCTGTGACGAACCAAAGGAACTGATGGGCCTGTGAGGACTTTGGTGACCCCCAGCCTTACCCAAGTCCTGACCCTAGTTCTGCCCTAAACCCGCCCACCCTCACCCCACTTCCAGTCTCAGCCCTGGCCTGCGTCCACCCCGGGCTAGACTCTGTCAGCATCTCTCCCAAGTTCCCTATAGTCCCTGCTGCCCCACTATAGACCCTGCACAATGCCCTGGTCCTGACCTTTGTGTTCCCCACTCTCCTGACCCAGGATGGACCCTGCACCCCAAGACGCTGCCTGGGCTCCCTTGTGTTTCCAAGGAAACTACAGAGCTCCTCCCCGCCAGAGCAGCTGCTGGGTCAGGCCAGGGACTTCATTAACCAGTACTACAGCTCCATCAAGAGGTGAGGCCTTCGCTGACACCCAGGCTCCCCTCCATGCCATGGAACCCCAATCCTCGACCCAGGGCCTCCCCTCTTACCCTGTGACCATTCTTACCACACTCCCCCAGGAGCGGCTCCCAGGCCCATGAGCAGCGGCTTCAGGAGGTCGAGGCTGAGGTGGCATCCACAGGCACCTACCAGCTCCGGGAGAGCGAGCTGGTATTCGGGGCCAAGCAGGCCTGGCGCAACGCTCCCCGCTGTGTAGGCCGGATCCAGTGGGGAAAGCTGCAGGTGTGGCCAGCTGACCTGGGAACAGAGGGTGGGCATGGACACAGGCAGTTCCTGAGGTCTCTTGGGGGTGGGGGTGGGGGCGGAGGAGGTTCCATACAGTGGGGGGCTTTCTGCCTCTTACCTACATGGCTGCCACCTGGTTAGGAAGCTGTACACTAGTGACTTGGAAATGTCCAGGCCTACTGGGTACAATGGTGGTTGAGCAGGGATAACTCCCCGCCCCCCCCCCATGGTTGTCAGGGGTAAGAGAAGCTTCTGCAAGAGGCCTGCCAAATGGCTACTTGTGCCATGTGGGCCTCACTGCCCAGCTGGATCCTGACTGCCACCCTCTGTCCCACACCCTCCTTCACAACCTGCCCACAAACCAGAGCTAAGCTGGGTTACTAGAAAGCTGAGGCCTTGGCATGAAGAGATACAAGGGACCACAGGGGAATTGGACCTGTGACCTTGGCCTTCTGAGCTCTTAAGTGGTCACCAAAGAATGTGGAATACAGCCACATGCCCAGCAAATCCAAAGGTGTCTCCAATAAAGCAACTATCCTTAGCAAGGCTCTGGTGGCTTACGCCTGTCATCCTAGCTACTCAGGAGGCTGAGATCTGAGAATCACAGTTAAAATCAACCCAGGCAGGGGTTGGGAAGGTGGCTCAGTGGTAGAGCGCTTGCCTTGCATGCCTGAGGCCCTGGGTTCGATTCCTCAGCACCACATAAGAAAAAAAAAAAAAAATCAACCCGGGCAGACAAATCCATGAGACTGTTATCTCCAGTTAATCAACAAAAAAACCAGAAGCGGAGCTATGGTTAAGTAGTAGAACACCAGCCATGAGCGAAAAAGCCAAGCAAGAGCTCAAGACCCTGAGTTCAAACCTCCGTACCAACACATACCGAATATATATATATGTATATATATATATATATATATATATACATATATATATATATATATATATATATATGCTTCCTAACAGTTGTCTGACTATTTAAGTTGTTCAAAGCTTTATCTAACTTTCAACCCATTAGAGCTTCCACAATGGTCTTCACTCCCTGCATGTCTCTACCTTGACCCCAGCCACTGCCTCCTGCTGCCCCGTTACGTTTCCTCCTCTCCCAGCCTCTTCTTCCTGCCATCACAATGTAAGCATTGGCAGAGGCCCAAGAGGCCACCTAGCACAGCCCCTGCCCCCTTCCCAGCAGCAGAGAGCTCGGGGGAGAGCCGGGACTCTGCTCGAGCATCATAGTGTGCAACCTACTCCTAGGTGGCTGTGCCCTTCCTCCAGCATGGCTGGCACCAGGAAGCTTCTGGAGGACCGGGGAAAACACGTCCTCTAGGAAGGAGTTAGGCTATACTGAGGACACATGGGATGGGAGAACTGGTTAAGTGGACAGAGGGCGGCTTCCCTGCCTCCTTCCCAGTGAATCACACACCTGGCCTCTGGGGTTGCTGCTCAAGACCCCAACTCTCTTCTTGCCCTTTCTCTGTCTTGGCGGGCCCAGGTGTTTGATGCCCGGGATTGTAGGACTGCACAGGAAATGTTTACCTACATCTGTAATCACGTCAAGTATGCCACCAACCGTGGTAACCTTCGGTAAGTGCTTCCATCCAACCACACCAGAGCCCATCCTGACGCCAGGCCAGGTGAAGGAGGGCCTCTGACCAGCTCTAATCCCCCCATCAGCTCGGCCATCACGGTGTTCCCCCAGCGCTGCCCAGGCCGAGGAGACTTCCGAATCTGGAACAGCCAGCTGGTGCGCTACGCGGGGTACAGGCAGCAGGATGGCTCCGTGAGAGGGGACCCTGCCAACGTGGAGATCACTGAGGTGGGTACAGAGGCAAGAGTGGGCAAATGAAGAGGAGGAGGCAGGGGCCATCCAGCCAGAGAGGGGTTAGTGAACAGGAAGAGAAGACCCTTCCTTCGAATGAAAGATGAGAGATGTAAAACAATCAGGGCCTGCGAGTTAGGCCTTGGTAGCTTCTCAGGAGGCTGAGATGTGAGGATCACAGTTCAAAGCCACCCAGGCAGGAAAGTCCATGAAATTCCTATCTCCAGCTAATCACCAAAAAGCCAGAAGTAAAGCTGTGGCTTAAGTAGTAGAGTTCTAGCCTTGAGCAAAAAGCTCAGGGACAGAGCCTAGGCCCTGAGTTCAAGCCCCAGTAATCACACACACACACATACACACACACACACACACATCCTGGAGTAGCTGTAGACACCTAGCCAATGCAGGAGCCTTGAGGCGAAAGGTGGGAGATAGCTGACGGAGAGGACCCCTCAGGAGGTCGGGTTGAGGCCTTGGGACCTGTGTTTGCCTGCCCCCTGCAGCTCTGCATCCAGCATGGCTGGACCCCAGGAAATGGCCGTTTTGATGTGCTACCCCTGCTGCTCCAGGCTCCTGATGAGCCCCCAGAACTCTTCACCCTGCCCCCCGAGCTTGTCCTCGAGGTGCCCCTGGAGCACCCCACGTGAGCATGGAGGGATGATGTGGGGTGGCAAGGAGGGGCAGTGGGGGACACCTGCAAGGGCTCTACATGGCCTCATCCAAACCTGACGCCGTCCCAGGCTGGAGTGGTTCGTGGCCCTGGGCCTGCGCTGGTACGCCCTCCCGGCAGTATCCAACATGCTTCTGGAAATTGGGGGCCTGGAGTTCCCCGCGGCCCCGTTCAGCGGCTGGTACATGAGTACTGAGATCGGAATGAGGAACCTGTGTGACCCTCACCGCTACAACATCTTGGAGGTGAGGAGCCACTGCGGGGGTGGGGGACAGAGGGCGACAGGTAGGCAGGACACAGCCCTGCACACAGCATCCCCCCCCAACATGCCAGCAGCGATCTGAGCTGAGTCAATTCCAAGGACACAAACTCTGGAACCATCCAGGCAATGGGGAGTGCGCTAATCTCTAGTTCTGCATCTCTCATAAGGTTGTCAGAGGGGACTTTGACTCCAAAAAGAAAGTTCAAGATCTTTGAAGGAGTTTCAAAGATGAGAAACTGCCCCAGTAGCTGTAATACTAGCTACTCAGGAGGCTGAGATCTGAGGATCATGGTTTGAAGCTAATCGAGGCAAGAAAGTCCATGAGACAGGGACAGTGCCAACTCCCTAAGTTCAAGTCCCAGGACCAGCACCAATACATAAATAAAACTGAGAAACTAAGTCCCAGAACTGAGAAGCGACTTGCCCAAGTTCCCTCTGTGCTCCATGATGCCTTTGTAGGAGAAAAGGCTGATGCAACCCGCACTGGGTGGTCAGCCTCTGACAGTGCCTTCCCCGCCCTGCTCCACCTACTACCCATTGCCTCTGTCCCTGCCAACACCCACTGCCCTGCCCAGGACGTGGCCGTCTGCATGGACCTGGACACCCGGACAACCTCGTCCCTGTGGAAAGACAAGGCAGCGGTGGAAATTAACGTGGCTGTGCTGCACAGTTACCAGGTGGACAGGCCCACGCTGGCCGGGAGGGCAAAGGGGGCTGGGAGGAATGAAGAACAGGGGGCACATAGAAACTAGGGCAGGGCTTAGACGGCTGCAAGTTCATACGCGAGGCCTGCCGCAGGGACGGCGTATGGCGGGCAGCTCGTGCCAGGAACCTTGTTCAGTAATCCTATCCCCAGAGGATGCTGTGGGACCCAGTGCAACATGGAAACTCCAATAGTAGAATGGAAGATGTGAGAACAGTAGTGCAGTGCATGCTGGGAGGGGTAGTTTGGTGAAACTGGTATCTGCTGAATACTTCAATGAGGAATGAAGGGTTCAGGAGGGGCCAGGGATGTGGCTCAGTGGCTGTGTGTTTGCCTAGCATGCTCGAAACCCTGAGTTTTGGACTCCTCAGCAATGCAAAAAGAAAAATAAACCTAGCTACTCAGAGGCTGAGATCTGAGGTCACAGCTCGAAATCAGAACTGTGTCCCAGGCAGAAAAGTCCATGAGACTCATATTTCTAATTAACCACCAGAAAAGCTGCAAGTCAAGCTGGGGCTCAAGTGGTAAGAGTACCAGCCTTGAGGAATAAAAAAAAAAAGCTAAGGGACAGTGCCCAGGCCTCAGTTCAAGCCCCAGAACTGGCACCAAAAAAAGAAGGGTATTTTGGGGTTGAGAGAGAGGCACACAGAGAGTGAAAATGAGAGCAGCTATTGCATGTGACATAGAATGTGACCTTGCAAGCTACAGTTTGGGGGTGCTATTCTGGTGTGAGGGGATACGGTCTGTGTCAGGGACTCGGGGCACAGTGTTTGGGTAACAAGTGGTGTCGTTAGAGGGTGGGCCTGGGGGCTGATTCTGAGCCTGGCCTCTCTCCCTCCCCCACCTCAGCTGGCCAAAGTGACCATTGTGGATCACCATGCGGCCACGGCCTCCTTCATGAAGCACCTGGAGAACGAGCAGAAGGCCAGGGGGGGCTGCCCCGCTGACTGGGCCTGGATCGTGCCCCCCATCTCAGGCAGCCTCACTCCTGTCTTCCATCAAGAGATGGTCAACTATTTCCTATCCCCTGCCTTCCGCTATCAGGTGTCCACCCGACTGCTTCCTGTGCCCCCTCCCAACTCTAACTCTGAAGCCCCCAGGAAGCACTAATCGTCGCTGTCTCCCTCTCCTCACTCTCCTCTTCCTTCTCCCTCTCCCGCCTCTCCTCCCCATCGCTTCCCTGCAGCCAGACCCCTGGAAGGGGGGTACAGCCAAGGGTGCCGGCATCACCAGGAAGAAGACCTTTAAGGAAGTAGCCAAGTGGGTACCCTGGAAGTGCACCCCTCCCCCCACACACAACAGCCTGTGATGATGGGGCTGGACCCCTGCGGGGGGGGGGGGCTGAGCTTCTGGGCACCTAAATACCCCCACCCCACTCTCACCTGCAGTGCGGTGAAGATCTCCGCCTCGCTCATGGGCACGGTGATGGCGAAGCGCGTGAAGGCGACCATCTTGTATGGCTCAGAGACCGGCCGGGCACAGAGTTACGCACAGCAGCTGGGGAGGCTCTTCCGGAAGGCGTTCGACCCCCGGGTAGGGCTGAGCCCAGTAGCAGGAGGCCAGAGAGGGGTGGTTGGTCAGAATTTCCAGAGGTACTCAGGAACTCAGGGGAGGTCCAAAAGACAGAGCTCAATGAAGGGCACTGGCTCACACCTATAATCTTAGCTACTCAGGAGGCTGAGATCTGAGGATTGCAGTTTGAAGCCAGTGAGACTCTTATCTCCAATTAAGCACCAAAAAAAGTCACACATGGAGCTGTGGTTCAAGTGGTAGAGCACTAGCCTTGAGCAAATTCAGGCAGACCTCAGGAGGAATCCTGGAGCCCATGAGATTCAGAGTCGAGTCAGGGCCTGAAGCTTGCCCAGAGGTTCAGAGTGAGAAGGAAAAGGACAGCAAGAAATCTGGGCACTGGAGGCTCACTCTGTAATCCTGGCTACTCAGGACTAGTTCTGAGGAGTGCAGTTCAAAGCCAGCCCAGGCAGGAAATTCCATGAGACTCTTATCTCCAATGAACCACCAGAAAACCGGAAGTGGCACTGTGGCTCAAGTGGTAGAGCACTCGCCTTGAGCTGAAGAGCTCAGGTACAATGCTCAGGCCCAGAGTTCAAGCCCCACAACCGGCCAAAAAAATAAAGGTGGGGCGGCAGCAAGAGTGGAGTCCCCATCTCTCCTGTCCTCACCCACAGGTCCTGTGCATGGATGAGTATGACGTGGTGTCCCTGGAGCATGAGACCCTGGTATTGGTGGTGACCAGCACCTTTGGGAATGGGGATCCCCCAGAGAATGGAGAGGTAAGGCCTTCTAGACTGGGGGGAATGAGTTGAGATTCAAAACTAGAGTGGTTGGATAGGCGCTTACACACACACACACACACACACATACCCCACCAGGATGGAAAGCAAAGATATGCAGGGAAATTCCCCCACAATTCCAGTGTGACCTTCTGTACAAGAGCAAACCACACCCTAGCCACAACCTCCCCCACACGAACCTACTGCACTGCGCCTCCAGGTCATCTCCGTTATCAGGGTAACGCTGACCAAGGAGGTCAGACTGCCCCTGGGAGCTGACAGCGTGAACAGCAGGGACACTCCACTCCATTCCCTGTTGCAGCTTTTCCCTTCCTTCCTAACAAAGGAGCACTTCTAGTTGCCAACAGAGGTTTAAAAAACCTCTCTTGTTCAACAATAACAAAAAAAAGAACTACAGCACCACCATCCAGTGAGTTTCCAGTTGATGCTTCTGAGCTCCCCAAGGGAGCTGCACTTAGTTCTCTTACCTGTTTCCAGAGTCAACTGCCCTGCCTTCTAAGTGCCCCCCTGCACGCTGAGAAAGCTGGTGCCTACAGCAGGCTGGCTTTTCCTGCATAACTTTTATTGTTTTTATGATTTTATTAGCATATATTAGTTGCATAAGAGTTGTGATATTCCCATACATACATATAACGTACCCCATCATTAAACTCACCCCTTCCAACTCTCTCCCTCATCTCTTTTACCCTTCTTCAAACAATCTCAACAGGTTTCATTGTCCTGTTTTCATACATGCTTATCAAGTACTTTGACTGTATTCACACTCATTTACCCTCTCCTTGGCCTTGCCTCTCTGGTGGCACCCACCCCCAAGAAAGCCCATTCATAGGCCCCAGAGTGTGTGTGTGTGTGTGTGTGTGTGTGTGTGTGTGTGTGTGTGTGTGTGTGTGTGTGTGTGTGTGTGTGTGTGTGTGTGTGTGTGTGTGTGCATGTTGCCAGTACTGGGGCTTAAATTCAAGGCCTGAGTACTGTCCCTTAGCTTTTTTTCACTCAAGGCTGGCAGTCTACCACTTGAGTCACAGCTCTACTTTTAGCTTTTTGGTAATTATTTGGAGATAAGAGTCTCCTGGTCCTTTCTGCGTAAGCTGGCTTTGAACTTCAATCCTGAGATTTCATTCTCTTGAGTAGCTAGGATAGGATTACAGGCAGAGCCATCAGTGCCCTGCCATAGGCTTAAGCTCTGATGGAAGCTTCCCCCTCTGTCTGCCTCTCCATGTCAGCTCTCCTTCTGACCTGAAAAACAAAAAACTACTAGCACCTGTCTGAGCATCTGCTCAGCATCTGTTCAGGTGTCCTTGCTGGGTCAGGATGTGGCAGCGGGAGGGTAGCTGGGAAAGCTTGATTTTACAACAAAGCTACTCCTGTCACAACCCACTAATCCATTCATCTGTGAATGCATTTATCCATTCATGAAAGCAAAGTCCCAAGAACCCTCAGGCCCATCAGCCTCCAACATCCCAAATGTTAACTCGTGACTTTTCCAACACCTGAATTCTGGAGACACTCAAATCATAAGCTGAACTATGTATTTTTTTTTTTCAATATAAAAGTAGTACTGGCTGGTAATGTGGCTCAGTGGTAGAGCGCTTGCCATAGCATGCATGAAGCCCTGGTTCAATTCCTTGGTACCACATAAACAAAATCAATAAAAGCAGTACAAACACCTATGTAACCCACAGTCCTAAGAAGCTATAGACCATTTCCATCACCCCCGAAAGCTCCCTCATCAATTCCTCCCAGTTGCTGTCCTTTCCAGTCTGTCTCCTTGCCCCAGTTGTGATTTCTGTCACGTTAGGCAGGTTTCTCCTGCTCCAGAGCGTCAGATAAATGGAAGTGTGTGGCACGTGCCCTGTCACTTGGCCTGCTTTGGAGGCTCGTGTGTGCAGTCGTACGGTTCATGCCCTGTCTCTTTGTGCTGCTAAGTGCTCACTGCGTGACTAGGCTGTTTGTTTATCCATGATCCTGTTGATAGACACTTGGGCTCTTTCCAGTTTGGGGGATTATGAAGAAAGCTGTTACGAATATTTTTGTACCAGGCTTTTGCGGGCTTATGTTTTCATTTCTCTAGGAGTGGAATTACTGGGTCATAGGGTACATGTAAGTTTAACTTTTTTTTAAACTGCCAAGCGGCCAGATTGAACCATACTCTTATGATCTGCATTTCAATTTTATGTCAAAAAAATTTTTTGCGCTGGTCCTGGGATTTAAACTCAAGACCTGGGCACTGTCCTGAGCTCTTTTTGCTCAAAACTAGCAATCTTATCACTTGAGCCACAGTTCCACTTCCAGCTTTTTGGTGGTTAATTGGGGATAAGAGTCTCACAGACTTTCCTACATGGGCTGGCTTTGAACTGTGAGCCTCAGATCTCAGCCTCCTGAGCAGCTAGGATTAGAGGCATGCACCACTGGCACCCAGCATCTCACAATTTTTTTTTTTTTTGCGGGGCGGGGGAGGTCAGTCATGGGGCTTGAACTCTGTCCCTGAGCTCTTCACCTCAAGGCTAGCACTATCACTTGAGCCACAGGACCACTACCAGTTTTCTGGTGGTTTATTGGAGATAAGAGTCTCACAGACTTCCCTGCCTGGGCTGGCTTTGAACCACGATCCTCAGATCTCAGCTCCTGAGTAGCTAGGATTACAGGCATGAGCCACTGGCATCCTGCTCTCACAATTTTTAAGTGAAACAAATATAGGAATATGTCCACAGAAAATGAGGTATATCCACCAAAAAGATGAACAATAGTATTTATAGCAGCATTGCATATAAATTTGCCCACACTAGTGACAATCAACAAAGATTGGATAAATAAGTTATGGATATTCAAATGTAATACAACAATACAGCAATAGGCGTGAACAAATTACAATACATTATAACCGTAATACAGATATCAAAACAGAGTAAAAGAAGTCTCTCTCTGGGGCTGGGAAGGTGGCTCAGTGGTAGAGCGCTTGCCTTGCATGCATGAGGCCCTGGGTTCGATTCCTCAGCACCACATAAGCAAAGAAAAAAGCCGGAAGTGGTGCTGTGGCTCAAGTGGTAGAGCACTAGCCTTGAGCTGAAGAGCTGAGGGACAGCACCCAAGCCCAGAGTTCAGGTCCCACGACCGGGCCCCTCCATCCCCCCCAAAAAAAAGTCTCTCTCTCTCTCTCTCTCTCTCTCTCTCTCACACACACACACACACACACACACACACACACACACACACACACACCACATCATAGCACATGTTATAGGATACATTATAGAATGAAATTCAGAAACAGGCAACTTTAAAACCCAGTCTTCAGATCACAGCCTTCTTAGTTAGGATTGTAGGCATGAGCCACCAGCACTGAGCCCTGTATGCTTTTAAGCAAGCTAGTCATTAATTAAATGCTTATCTCTGGCTCCTGCTTTCCAGGCCTCCTTTTTCCTGATCTATCCTGCCCCAAAGTCACACATGCTGATTATTGTGAACCGATAGACTCATTACCCAACTGCATCTATAAAATATTTAGATGTGATTTCCTGTTAGCTCTCTTGTCTGTCTAGCTGTTTTCACAGCACTGAGATATGGGCAACCTCACTTGTAATGCCCTCTGGGTACCAGGACACTGCACAAGGAGAGCTCTGTTCACCCCTGAGTTGGCTGAAGCACCAGGGCCTCTCACCCTTGATATGGAAGGAAAAAACATCTCCCCAGCAGCCACCAGCACAATCTGACCACCTCCACGAAGTGTTTAAACCCTTCAAGCAGCCCCACTTCTATGGACTAGAGGGGAGATTTTCAAACAAGGAAGCACTCAAACCGTGTGTGAGAGAGTGCTTGAGCATTGCTTGTAACCCCCCACTGGCTTCAGTCAGAGGGAGTTGTGCACCATGGTATACACAAATGGAAGAACAATTAAAGTAACCATTAGATCCAGGTGCTTGTGGTTCACCTGCAATCCTCGCAGAGGCTGACATCTGAGAAGCATGGTTCCAAGCCAGCCCAGGGAAGAAAGTCTGTGAGACTGTATCTCCAATTAATCCCCAAAAAAAAAGCTGGAAATGAAGCTGTGGCTCAAGTGGTAGAGTCTAACCTTAAGCAGAAAATGCCAAGTGGTAGCACAAGGCCCTGAGTTCAAGCCCTAGTAATGGTACAAAAAGAAAAGAATGAGGACAAGCTGACATATTGATGTCCACGATAGGTTATGATAAAAAGCAGGCAAGTATAATATACTAAGTGTGGACAGATCACAGCTCAGGATGGTTTGGCTTATGACTTTGTACTTTATGAGAGCATCCATTAGAAGCCATGCTTTCAATCTTGAGTGTGGCTCTTTGCCCAGACTGGAGCTACGTGGTGGGATCCACTCTACATGGTAGCCACAGCTCCCAGTCAGCCCTGTAGCCATGTGGTGTGAGTGAAGAGTGGGTGAGTGGAACTATTTTTCACTGGCAACATGCTCACTTCACAATGGCTTCCTCTAACCACACTGTAAAGCCACGTGCATATGGGCATTGACCAAGGACTAGAAGGTTCCCATCTGTCGTAGTGGATGTTATAGGAAGTAAAACAAGCCAAGAGAAGGGCAGTCAACTCTTCAAAAAGCAAGACTTTTGAAATTCTCAAGACCAAAATTAGAAGTTGGATGGACACCAATGGTTCATGTTTCTAATCCTAACTACTCAAGAGGCTGGGATCTGAAGAGTGAGGTCACAAACCAGCCCAAGCAGGAAAGTCTGTGAGACTCTCATCCCCAGTTAATCAGCAAAAAAAACAACAACAGGGCTGGGATGTAGCTCAGTGGCAAAGCGCTTGCCTAGCAAGTGCAACGTCCTGGGTTCGATCCCTAGTACCAAAAAAGAAAAGACAAAAAAAATACAGTTTTAAAAAAAAAAAAAAGGAGCTGGGAAAGTGGCTCAGTGGTAGAGCTCTCGCCTTGCATGCATGAGGCCCTGGGTTCCATTCCTCAGCACCACATAAGTAGAAAGAAAAAAAAAAAAAAACAGAAGTGGCGCTGTAGCTCAAGTGGTAGAGTGCTAGCCTTGAGCTGAAGAGCTGAGGTACAGCGCCCAGGCCCAGAGTTCAGGCCCCACAACCGGACCGTAATAAATAAATAAATAAAAGAACTAGAGGCTTGGGAAGGTGGCTCAGTGGTAGAGTGCTTGCCTTGCATGCATGAGGCCCTGGGTTCGATTCCTCAGTACCACATTAACAAAAAAGGCTGGAAGTGGTGCTGTTGGCTCAAGTGGTAGAGCGCTGGCCTTGAGCTGAAGAGCTGAGGGGCAGTGCCCAGGCCAAAAGTCTAAGCCCCATGCCTGACCAAAAAAAAAAAAACTAGAAATAGGGATGTGGCTTAATACTTGAGTGAAAAAGTGCAAGGCCCTGAATTCAAGTGCCAGTACTGACACCGAGAGAGAGAGAGAGAGAGAGAGAGAGAGAGAGAGAGAGAGAGAGACAGAGAGAGAGAGGGAGGGAGAGAAAGAGAGTTGCTAACAAAGACTAATAAGGACTAGATTGCTGTATTATCTGAAATAAAACTAACTTGATGCAAATGCTCCCTGGCAGAGCTTCGCAGCGGCACTGATGGAGATGTCTGGCCCCTACAACAGCTCCCCCCGCCCAGAGCAGCACAAGTGAGTAGCTCCCAGCAACTTCAGCCACTTAGAGACATTTTCAGATGCACAAGGAAAGAGCACACACACACATGCACGCACGTGCTCGCACACACACACACACACACACAGCCCGCAACAAACTGCAGCACCCAGTCCCAGGGCCTTCCCTCTCCGGGGACCAAAGCCCCCAAACCCCTAAGACCTCCTTCAGCGGGAGGCATGACTGAGCAGAGCCTCAGTCCCTCAGAGGACAGGGCCCTTCTCACCCTAGAGGTAGGGACCCCCTAAACTGTTCCCTGGCTGGGCCAGATCTCTGTGAACCCCACACCCACCCATGTCTTCATTCTCTTGTCAGGAGTTACAAAATCCGCTTCAACAGTGTCTCCTGCTCAGACCCGCTGGTGACCTCTTGGCGGCGCAAGAGGAAGGAATCCAGTAACACAGACAGTGCGGGGGCCCTGGGGACCCTCAGGTTGGGGGTGCTCCCCAGAGGGGGTGTACAGGAGGCAAGCTGCTGAAGCAGTGGCTGGCCAGGGGGACTCCAGCAATGCCTCCTGCACCTCAGGTTCTGTGTGTTCGGGCTGGGCTCCCGGGCATATCCCCACTTCTGTGCCTTTGCGCGGGCGGTGGACACCAGGCTGGAAGAGCTGGGTGGAGAGCGGCTGCTGCAGCTGGGCCAGGGAGACGAGCTGTGTGGCCAGGAGGAGGCCTTCCGAGGCTGGGCCCAGGCCGCCTTCCAGGTGAGACCCGGGCCGGCTTCTCACTGACTCACGCCACTCTGGAGCCCCTCCCGCATACCCTCATGGCTGAGAGCTGTTCCCTGGCCCCATTCTGTTCCTCTCCAATCCACCCTTATTTTGTCACTTTGTCGCTGCAGTCAGCCCTCTGGGCTCAGTCCCAAGTGGACAACGGGGCCCTACCAACAGAAAAGGTTGGGTAGAAGCATGTCCTGAGAGAGCAGGGAGGACTGCAAGAGGCTGCCTCAGCCTTAGCCAGGCACAGGCTAGCCCACGCACGGAGGAGGGCGCAGGCTCGAGCCCCAGGCAGGAAGGAGGAACGAGGAGCCAGAGGACCAGATGGAGGACAGGGTTGAAGCAGAAGCCAGCAGGAGCTTCAGGAAGTTGAAGCCAGACTAACATGGACAGGGCCTGGCCTAGAGAGTTGGTCTTGACCAAGGAGTGTCCCAGGGAATGATTTATTTTTTTTTTTTTTGGTTGGTCATGGGGCTTGAACTCTGGGCCTGGACGCTGTCCCTGTGCAGCTCAGCTCAAGGTTAGCACTCCACCACTTAAACCACAGCACCACTTCCAGTTTTCTGGTGGATTCTTGGTGGTGGTGGTGGTGGTTTTTTTGTTTGTTTTGTTTTTTTGTCAGTTGTGGGGCCTGAACTCCAGACTTGGGCACTGTCCCTCAGTTCTTCAGCTCAAGTACTCTACCACTAGAGCCACAGCATCACTTCCAGCTTTTTCTGCCTATGTGGTACTGAGGAATTGAACACAGGGCCTCATGCATGCGAGGCAAACTCTCTATCTAGTGGTTAATTGGAGATAAGTGTCTCACGGACTTTACTGCCCAAGCTGGCTTTGAACCATGATCCTCAGAGCTCAGCCTCCTGAGTAGCTAGGATTACAGGCGAGACCCACTGGCGTCCGGCGACTGATTTCTCTTAACTCTGGGCTTCCTTGGGGTGGTGCTGCTTGTCTACGGATTATACCTGAACCCAGCAAGGGCTCCCTCTCCAGAGGTCACAGTACTCAGCCCAGGGAGGGCTGCCCCAGCATCCATCCATCCATCCATCCACCTAGGGTACACATTCAACAGGTTTGAGTCAATGCAAGGAGAAGAGCTTCCTTGGAGGTGGGCATGGAGCTGGTTTGCTGGGGAGGAGAAAGCCAAACTGGAGAAGCAGCCCCAGATTGAGAAGTGAATGGGTGGGGTTGAAGTGGGGCTCAGTTGGTAGTGGGCTAACCAATGAGCAAAAGCATCAGATACCAAGTTAGAGTCTCAGTCTTAAACCAAAATAAGAGAAGTGATGGAAAATAAGGCCCAGAGCCTGGCATGGTGGTTCATACCTATCTCAGCACTTGGGAAGCTAAAGCAGAAGAATCAAGAGTTTGAGTCCAGTTTGGGCTACACAGCCAGACCCTGTCCCAAACAAATAAATAAGACCTAGAGAACACAGACAAGAAGAGCCATTAGAAGTTTCAGAGTGGGACAAGACCACAACATGAAGTCTTAGGAATACAGCTCTGTGGTGCCGGCAAATGTGAGCATCTGAGAAGCAGGAAGACTGGGGCGGTAGCAGTGGGGATAGGAAGGAAGGGAGGGGGCTAAGGAAGGAAGGAAGAGATATAAGACTGCTCACACTACAAAAGAAACAGCAGAAGGACCTGGTGATATGGTGCTCAGCCAATCATGGAAGAGCCCTGGATCTCAAACCTGGAATGGGCCAAGCAGCTGGCTGGCCTTGTACCTCCCCAGACAGCACATGAGCCTGCCCTTCACCCTCGACCCCTGTCGTGACACAGCCTAGACTCTGCATGTGCTATACTAAGGGCTTCACATACAGCCTTCACTAGAATCCAGTGAGGTATCAAAATGGGGAAACAGAAGCATGTAAGATGTAAGTACAGTCAGAACTCAAATGCACGTCTGGTGTACAGCTCACTCACTGAGCACCACGCAACAGGCACTGGACTCCCTGGAGCACAGGATCAACACTCACTAGGCAAGCAGCCAGCAGGTACAACCAGTCAATGCGGCCAGGCTATAATCCTAGCTACTCAACAGGCTGAGACCTGAGGATCAAGGTTCACATCCAGCCTGGGCAGAAAAGTCCATGAGATTCTTATCTCCATTTAACCACCTAAAGGCCAGAAGTGGAGCTGTGGCTCCAGTGGTAGAGTGCTAGCCTTGCATACAAAAGAGTTCAGGGAGCAGAACTCATCCAGATCTGAGCGTATGCCCCAGAACACACACACACACACACACACACACACACAAAGTCAATACACACCATGAGCAGCCAGCAGCACCCTGGGCCAATGGCTAAGCCATGACATGGGCTGGAGAACAAGGTGCCATGGTCAGAGCTGTCTGTTTCAGTCTCATTTCATTCTCCAGCCCATCTCTCCTCGCCACCCCCCCCATCCTCCCCACCCATGAGGCCACAGCCCCCAGGAACAAACCCAGGCTACCCTGGCTCCGCAGCGAGCCACTGGCACAGCTGCACCTCCCTTGGCACACTCTTCCCGGGTTCCTCACTTGGGCCTCTCCCTGGTGGCAGGAGGTCATCAGCCCTGGCCCATTCACCCCTCAGGCCTCCTGTGAGACCTTCTGTGTGGGAGAAGATGCCAAGGCTGCCGCCCGGGACATATTCAGCCCCAAACGCAGCTGGAAACGCCAGAGATACCGGCTGAGTACCCAGGCCGAGGGCCTGCAGCTGCTGCCAGGTGTGACCCTGACCTCTCTGATCCTGTTGGCTCCCTGGGGTCTCTGGGACCCCAGGATTCTCTCAGCAGTCAGGCTTGCTCCCTGGCTCAGGCCGCCCTCTCTCGCCCTCCCCTTCCAGGCCTCATCCATGTGCACAGGCGGAAGATGTTCCAGGCTACCATCCTCTCTGTGGAAAATCTACAAAGCAGCAAATCCACGTGAGGAAGGAGGCCCGATCCCTGCCCCTCCATGTACTCCTCTGCCCCCGCTAAAATCACTCCCTCCCCACCCATAGCCGAGCCACCATCCTGGTGCGCCTGGACACTGGAGGACAGGAGGGGCTTCACTACCAGCCTGGAGACCACATAGGTGTCTGTCCACCCAATCGACCTGGCCTGGTGGAGGCGCTGCTGAGCCGCGTAGAGGACCCCCCACCACCCACTGAGCCTATAGCAGTGGAGCAGCTGGAGAAGGGCAGCCCTGGTGAGGATGGGGCACTGGGCAGGACGGTGAGAGTCTGTCACATCCCCTGGCAGGGCTCCCCCTGGAGCTCAGCCCTGACTGGGTTGCCACCTTCCTTCACAGCTCAGCACGTCTTCAGGTCTATCTGTGCCAGATTGGCCTTGTTCCTGGATACCAACAAACCCCTTAAAGACCTTACCTCTCTCTAGGCTCTCCACAGTGCTTCCCCCTAGTGGTCTAGCTTGTGCTGTAACTAACGTCCTGCCAAATTACTGCCTGTGGAGTTAAACATAAGCTGGGTGAGGTCAGGGGCAGAGAAACCTCGACCAACCCCGTCCAACTAGGGGTCCCCAAACAAGCCCACCAGAGCCCCCAGACAGGCCTACCCCCACAGACCATGAGCCGTTTACCAGTAAGACAAGGTGAAGTCAAGTTAGTCCCCACCCAAAGCAAACAGCCCAGAAGAAGTCATTCCTCCTGGGACCCTTCCTCAAGGCCCCCTGTGTGCTCCCCCCAGGCGGCCCTCCCCCCGGCTGGGTCCGGGACCCGCGGCTGCCCCCGTGCACACTGCGCCAGGCACTCACATTCTTCCTGGACATCACGTCCCCACCCAGCCCTCGCCTCCTGCGACTGCTCAGCACCCTGGCTGAAGAACCCAGTGAACAACAGGAGCTAGAGGCCCTCAGCGAGGTAGGGGTGGCCCAGCAGGGAGCAGGGGCAAGCGGGGGGAAGAGGAATTGACAGGAGTCCTCAGGGGAGGTCTCCCTAGACTTTCACATCCTGGCCAGTATTTATTTAGTGGTGCTTTAAAACCAGCTCTATGCTGACCCATTTGTCTTTGGATGCGCAAGGCCTCTATTTGTGTGTGTGTTGTTGGTACAATCCTTAAGTCTCAGCCTCCAGAGAAGCTAGGATTACAAGCATGAGCCACCAACACCCAGCCCTGTGAGGTCTTAACAAGGTGTTGGTTGGCCTGAACTGAGCAGGGAGGAATCTTAAAGAGCCTCTCCTGGAAAGAGGTCAAGAAGGGAGATCAGTAGGCAGGGGATGGGGCTCCCAGCTGACCACACTCCACCTTACCAGGATCCCCGGCGCTACGAAGAGTGGAAGTGGTTCCGCTGTCCCACGCTGCTGGAGGTACTGGAGCAGTTCCCGTCAGTGGCGCTGCCTGCTCCCCTGCTCCTCACCCAGCTGCCCCTGCTCCAGCCCCGGTACTACTCTGTCAGCTCAGCACCGAGCACTCATCCGGGAGAGATCCACCTGACCGTCGCCGTGCTGGCCTATAGGACCCAGGGTAAGACCGGGAGCAGGACAGGCCTAGGCCTCAGCAGGCCCAAGTCAGCCCCGCATTGGCCTCTCTTCCCCATCCCCTAGATGGCCTGGGCCCCCTGCACTATGGAGTCTGCTCCACGTGGCTGAGCCAACTCAAGGCTGGAGACCTCGTGCCCTGCTTCATCAGGGGGTAAGTGAGCCGGGCAGGATGGAACGTCCCAGTGGGGAGAGGACAGGGAGGACAGGTGAGGAATCTGTGGGGAGGAGGGGTTCCCGCAGGGTCAGGTGGCAGCTACGAAGAACAGCACTGGGAGCGTGCAAGGAGGACCTGCAGAACAGCAAGGCTATGGGATCACTAGGTCACTCCAAAACCATAGCTGTGGGCCAGGCAGCCGTGGCTCACACCTGTAATGCTAGTGACTCAGGAGGCTGAGATCTGAGGATCACAGATCAAAGCCAGCCTATCTTCAATAAAGTAAGAAAAAGCTGGAAGTTTTGCTGTGATTCAAGTGGTAGAGCACTAGCCTTGAGCACAAAGAGGCTCGGGGACAGAGCCCAGACCCCAAGTTCAAGCCCGACTGGCAAAAAGAAAAAAACACATGGCTGAGCTTTGGGACTCACTTGAACTCAGGATCCTGCCCTGAAACTCCAATTCCCAGAGACACAACACAGAATAGGCCAGTGGTTCTGTGAAAGCAAGGCCTTTATTAAAAGACATGGTGCTAAGTGCTGGTGGTTCACATCTGTAACACCAACAACTTGAGAGGCTGAGATCTGAGGACGGCAGTTCAAAGCAAGCCAGAGCATAAAAGTCCATGAGACACTTATCCCCAACCGACCAGCAAAAAGGCAAAAATGGACGTAGAGTGGTACCTTGCCTTGAGCAAGGAGAGAGTGTGGCCTTGTGAGTTCAAGCCTCAGTACTGCCCCCTCCCCAAATATGAAGACATAAGGGACAGGAAGGGACCTAATGGAGTCTCTCTGGCTAGGGCTCCCTCCTTCCGGCTGCCACCTGATCCCAGCTTGCCCTGCATTCTGGTCGGCCCAGGCACTGGCATTGCCCCCTTCCGGGGCTTCTGGCAAGAGCGACTACACGACATTGAAAGCAAAGGTGAGTCTGGGCTATATGGACCACTGGAAGTCAGGAGAGTCACACAACCTAGGGACAAAGGGGTGAGACTTAAAGGAAGCAGGTAGGAAAGAAAGTATAAGAAAGGGAGGCCAAAGGTGGAAGGAAGTTTATTAGGGGAGACAAGAGGGAAGGGCTGATCCATGTTTGGCTTCTTGGTGCCTGGCACTTAAGTGAAGTAAATTAAAGATAAAAGAAAATGGAGGCGCTGGGAAGGTGGCTCAGTGGTAAAGCACTTGCCTTGCATGCATGAGGCCCTAGGTTCGATTCCTTATCACCACATAAGCAAAAAGAAAAAAGCCAAAAATGGTGCTGTGGCTCAAGTGGTAGAGCGCTAGCCTTGAGCTGAAGAGCTGAGGGACAGCACCCAGGCCCAGAGTTCAGGCCCCATGACCGGACCCCCCCCCCCAAAAAAAATGGAGGGACTAGGAATGTGGCTTAGTGATAGAGTGTTTGCCTTGCATACATGAAGCCTGGGTTCGATTCCTCAGTACCACCATAAACAGAAAAGGCCAGAAGTGGTGCTGTGGGTCAAGTGGTAGAGTGCTAGCCTTGAGCACACAGAGGCTCAGGGACAGCGCCCAGGCCCAGAGTTCAAGCCTCAGGACTGGCAAAAAAGAAAAAAGCAAAGAAAAAAAGAAAATACAAGTATGAAAGAGATAGAACAATAATATCAGACAATAAAAAGGTGCAAGACCTATGAAGTGATAGGTGTCCAGGTTGAAAGCCAGCCCAGGTAGACAAATCCAAGACACTTATCTCCAATTAACCAGAAAAAAGCTGAAAGTGGAGGAGTGGCTCAAGTTGGTAGAGTACCAGCCTTGAGTCAAAAGGCTGAGAGAAGGCAAGACTCAAAGCTCAAGCCCCAATACAAAAAAAGCCAGATGCAGTTGTCTCATGCCTGTAATCCAAGCTATATGCAGGAGGTTGTGATCTGCCAGCCCAGGCAGGAAAAATGTGTAAGATTCTTATCTCCACTAAACTACCAAAAACAACTCTAGAAGTGGAGTTGTGGTTCAGGTGGTAGAGTACTAGCTTTGAGCAAAAAGCTCAGGAACAGAGCCAGGGCCTTAAGCTCAAACCCCATGACCAACACACATACACACACACGAAGCAAGGTTGAAGGTGGGAGAATCTAGTTTGGATCAGGCAGAGGGTCAGTGTTCCAAGCAGTAGAGCTTGGAACATCGGAGAACTTCATAGCACTCAAAGCATTGCCCTAAAAGCCAAAGACCTGTTGTCAGCCTAGGTCAGGTGGCCAGTGGGTGGGGATGCCAGGCCCCGGCCATGCTATAGGGCCTCTGTCTGCAGGATTACAGCCCGCTCCCATGACTTTGGTGTTTGGCTGCCGATGCTCCCAACTCGATCATCTCTACCGCGACGAGGTGCGGGACGCCCAGCTGCGCGGGGTGTTTGGCCAGGTCCTCACGGCCTTCTCCAGGGAACCTGGAAGCCCCAAGGTGCGAGCCGATGAGGACAGTGAGGCCCAGGCCACCCCGACCCCACTCACCCCCAGACCGAGGCCCCTGAGTTCTCCCCAGCCCCCCCAGCCCGGGCTCGGCCCTTTGACCCTGCCCCGGGTGACGCCGGAGGGTGGCGGGAGTCTTTTCACAGCCAGGGCCGCCCCTTGTCCCGCCCGCCCCCCAGACCTACGTGCAGGACATCCTACGGACCGAGCTGGCAGCCGAGGTGCACCGCGTGCTGTGCCTCGAGCGAGGCCACATGTTTGTCTGTGGTGACGTCACCATGGCGACCAGCGTGCTGCAGACCGTGCAGCGAATCCTGGCCACAGAGGGCGACATGGAGCTTGACGCGGCGGGTGACGTCATCGGCGTGCTGCGGGTAAGGGGCGGGAGCCAAGGAGGCTCCAGCGTGGGCGGGGCGTGGCCTAGGCCGGGCCGCCCCCAGGTGCCAATACGGCCTGGAAGACTGCAGGGTGGGCATTCCGGCCTGGGGGGCTTCTGGCCCGCTGTGCACCCAGGGTTAAGTCACTCTGACCTCTTTCCCCCACAGGATCAGCAACGCTACCATGAAGACATTTTCGGGCTCACGCTGCGCACGCAGGAAGTGACAAGCCGAATACGCACCCAGAGCTTTTCCTTGCAGGAGAGGCAACTACGGGGTGCGGTGCCCTGGGCATTCGATCTCCCGGGCCCAGACAGCCCAGGCTCCTGACAGCCTCAGGCTTCCCACTCAGTTCCCAGAGAAGGGCTTCCACAGTCCTGTCTGCTGACCAGGGCCAGCCACCTCTCTCTACCATATATCTCCCGGTGCCTGTCCCTAGGCTTTGGAGATTCAGCTTCATTCCCCTAGAGAGTGACATGTCTCCTTTCTCCAGGCCCGGTTCCCCCGGCTGGGGGCTGGGGGCTGCTTAATCGAGAAATCCCAGCCTACTGCTACCTACTTGGTGTGCTTTAGGTGAACTGTAGAATCCCTTACTACTGTCAGGAGTATCTTAACCTTTAAAGCTTATCTTGAAATCATTGAAATATTTATTGTTGAAGATATATGTTTAGGTGCCTAGCCCCACCCCTGTGGATTACACTCAAAAGAATAAAAAGAAAGCCAAGTTATGCGTTTCAACTTGTACAGACACAGGAGGTGGTAATTCTTTGACAGCCAGTCCCACACAATTCCATGTGATCTAGCACTCCACAGACAGCCAATCACAGGCTGTTCTTGCTCTTGATTGAGAAAGCAGGTGCAGCCATCAGCTGCCAGGAGTGGGGCATGCCAGAAACTGCCATCATACAAGATGTGCAACACAGCCACAAGCAATCTTTACTGCTTATTTCACACAGGATGAGGAGCTCCACCCACTTCCTCAGACATCTCAGCAGTGCTAAAGTCCAAAAACATCAGCCTACTCTAGATTTTCCACTCACAAGTCACCCGCCCACCTCCCTCCAGGCCCATGGGAACCTGAAAGGGAGGCCAGCAGGAAGAACTTCCTGGTCTTTCAGATCAGGGTAACTCATGGCTTCCTTAATGCTGAATTTGGCCTCTCCCTGTGACCCGACCCGGCCTTCCACCAGCCTTGCACCTGGAGGATGATCAGGGACTTCTTCACAGGCAACTACTCCTGCCAGCCATTTGGAGCTGTGTCTCCTTGGCCCCTTTGTGTGGGGACCATCTCTAAGATTGGTTTCCCTGTCACACAGTCATCGCCTCTCCTCTTTCTCTCCTCACTGGGGCAAGTTCCTCATTGATCCCCAGGTCTTGCCCAACCAAAGCATCCTGGGCATGTTAACCTGTTGGCAGGGGAGCTCTAAGATGGCTCCATGTGTCCTTCCATGCCACCCATCCAATCAATTCCCTGCAGCTGGGGAAGTGAGAAACCTGGAAGAGGAAGAGGAGGAGGTTTGTATGCATGTTTGTTAAGCATCTTAGGAGACAGGTTGTAGAGATGACCGCCTTCACCTCCCCAAAATTTAACCAATGTTCTCGTTTTCCCCCCACCAGCCTAGCATCAAGTCAAGTTCCTACCCCTCCCTTCCCTTCCAAAGCAGGCAACACTGACCTGAAGTGTCCTCTCAATCCGTGCAGGGGACCTGGCCAGACTCTTTCTTGGTGTCTGTCGTCTCCTGAAACACCCTAGGGAACAGACTCGGGGCTCTCTGAGTTGCCCACTGCTGTCTGGGACTGGAGGCAGGACTGGAGCCTATGACAAAAATAATCAGCTGGGCAATGTTATGCTGTCCAACATCCTTGCCCTCTCCCTTCCTCACCATCACTGGACCAGGATGGCTTCTCATCGTCAGGTGAGGCTGGCTGTGAGGGGCTGGACCAGGGCCTGGAGGGAGAGGAGGTCGAAGCCTCCCCCCACACTTCTTGCTGCTGCTGCTGCTGATGAAGCTAGATGGAGGAAGAGAAGTAAGGGACTCCCTCCTGCCTAAGGAGAGCAGAAGCCACTGGATACTGCCTTGGACCCTAGCCCCAACCCCTCCTCTCCATTTCATTCACCTGCTTCTTCCTCACTGTTCTCTTTCGGACACCCCCTACACTCACCTGGTGTAGGTAGATGGCATGAAGACTCATTTCCGCAGAAGCCAGCTCTGGGAGCTGGGCCAGCTTCTGGCTTCCAGTGCCACCTGGGGACACACAGCTGGAACACAATACAACTGGTCAGGAGACACACCCCTTCCCCTGGGAGAGCCCGGCTACCAGTCTCCTTCCAAATTCCCTCCAGCTTGATCTGGGAGGAGGAATGCCGGCCCAGACTCCCTTGAAGCTCAGGCTTCCATCCCTTACCTGGAGTCCTGGCCCATGCGGGAAAGGGAGGCAAGGAGGCTGGCTGTGGCAGCAGCTGGACAGGGGGTTGTGGGGCTCAAGTCCCTTGGGGGCAGAAGGGGGTTCACCAAGAGGTTGGCCAGGAAGGCTTCCGGCTAGACAAAAGAGAGGAATCAGAAGAGGGGAGGAAAAGGGAGGAGGATCGAAGCAGCCTAGAGAAGGCAGGAGAAGCTGAGGTAAGGTGAGGGTGAAAGGCAGAGGGCTGGGTGCAGGTGGCTCACGCCAGTAATCCTAGCTGAGAGCTGAGGATCGTGGTTCAAAGCCAGCCCAGGCAAGGAAAGTCTGTGAGACTTTTAGCTCCTATTAATCACCAGAAAACCACTGGAAGAGGTGCTGTGGCTCAAGTGGTAGAGTATTTGCCATGAGCTGAAGAGCTGAGGGACTCAGGCCCGGAGTTCAAGCCCCATGACCAACCAAAACAAACAACAACAACAAAAGAAAGGCAAAAGGGTCATCCCAAGCCTGGCACTCACCAGAGGTGAGGTGCAGTTGCTGAGCACCCCTGGGGTTGGGGGGCTGCGAGCTGAGGTAGCACCCCAGGCAGCTGCATCTTGTTGTACCCGGCCCCGAATCTGCCCAAGAAACTTGGAGCTGTGGCCCGGGGGTCGCCACTGAGGATGTGCCAGGGAGAAGCGCATCAACGAGAGTTCTGTCTTTCCATCCTCAGCGCGTTGAGACAGTGAGGCCTCTGTTTGACCCTCGGAGAGCCACTGCAATCAAAGACAGTCCTTTTTGGTGCCAGGACACACCAAGCTTCATGGGATGGGTGGGACAGGAAATCCTGCCCCGTGTGCTAGATTAAGGGAAACTGGGACTTGCTCAGGACCACCCACTTACAGCAACGGGTACCCTCCATGCCTTGCTCCCCTTTGCAGACCCAGCTTCCCAAGAGCCCCACAGCCCCATCCACTGCCCTGTCCCCTTTATCAGCTTCTCTGGCAGTCTTTCCTTCCATTCACTGTGGTTTCTGTGCTGGGAACTCTGTAAAGCACTAAAGACCCGTATCTATGCCAATTCTCTCGGTAAGCGGGACACTGGCTGCTGCTACTGTTCTCACCTGTTGAGGAAGCTAAGGGACACAGAAAGCAAGTCACAGGTGGCAAGCCATGGAGTTGGGGTTGGAACACATTGGGTGAGACAAACGCCTCCTGAACCTTTCAGGAGCAGGGAAGGGCTCTTACCTGAGGATGGCCGTGGCGCTTCACATCCATGAGGGCGAAGGAACAAATGTCCCCAACGCCAGCCACGTCCACAGTGAAGTGGTGGAAAAAGTCGATAATCTCTAGGGCACGGGGGTGGAACCAGAAGAGCAGAAATAGTGGGGTGAGAAGTGGGGACAGCAGCTCCTCCAGGAGGGAGACCTGAGGAAGCGGGAGCGAGGCTGAGCAGAGATTATGGAGGGGTCCCCACTAGTGATCAGGGATGTCCCCTCCCCTGCCCAGAGCACTCAAAGGCAGGAAGCCCTAGCCTTTTTCTTTTGTGCCAGTACTGGGGCTTGAACTCTGGGACCTGGGCGCTGTCTCCTTAGCTTTTCCTGCTCGGGTTGATCCTCTACCACTTGAGTCAACATCTCCACTTCTAGCTTTTTGCTAACTAACTGGAGGTCAGAGTCTCTTGGTGATCCCCAGATTCCAGCCACCTGAGTAGCTTAGAGGCGGGAGTCTCTTGCCCCTAGCAGAAAGACTTACATCATCCAGTCTCTCCTTCGGTACCCTTGAGCCATGGCTTGTCTGGGACAGATTCCCCGCTGCCCGGGCCTCTCCCCAGATCCCGCTCTCCCGGCCTCCTCACCCCCTGCAGCCCCACTGCCCCCCCCCCCAGCCCCCTCACCGCTCGATACTGCAGCAACTGCGCCATCTGCCGGTAGGCGCTGGCCCTGCCGCCCGCGCCGGGCTGCTCGGGCTGCTCGGGGAGGTAGTGCATGTGCGCCAGGGCTGCCTGCAGCAGGAGCTGCGGGGGGCGCCCCTGGCCTTGCTCTTCAGGAATGAAAGACCTGCGGGGCGGGCGGGGGGTGAGGGGACAGCGGTTAGGGGGAGGGACACGCGGGAAGGCGAGGGCCGGCTCCGAGGAACGCCCCACCCACCGCCAGCACTTCCCGGCTCGCACCTGGCCACGGTGGCCACGACCCCCAGCGCGGTCATGGCGGTGAGCACGTGCTCCACGGCCAGCACGTCCTCGTCGTAGACGGTGAGCACGAGCAGCGCGGCGAAGAGCGCGCCCGCGAAGAAGACGAGCTGGCGGGCCAGCAGCGCGCGCAGGGGCGCGGCGGGCTCGGCGGCGCGCAGGAAGGCGGCGGCGGGCCGGTAGGCGCGCGCCAGGCGCGCACGCAGCTCGTGCGGCAGCTCGTTGAAGTGGCGCAGCTGCAGGCGCGCCAGGCGGGACCAGCGGCGCGCCCCGAGCGCCCCGGGCTCCCGCCGCAGCAGCTCCACGTGGCTGTAGAAGGCGTGCAGCACCTGCCAGGCCAGCACCAGCGGGCTCAGCGCCAGGTTCACGGCCGCCAGCAGCAGCACCGTGCGCCCCCAGCGCGCCGCCAGCGCGCCCCGCTGCTCGCGGCGCTTGTACTCCTCGGGCAGCTCCCAGCCCCCGCGGAAGAGCGAGAAGGGGCCGCGGAAGAGGAGCAGGTCGATGTTGAGCGCCAGGCCGCGGCTCAGGAAGCCCACGCTGCCTCCCCAGGGCAGCGAGCAGCGGGCCGGCAGCAGGCCCTTGTTGGCCAAGGCCACCTGGTAGTTGGTGTAGCGGAGGATGCGGTGGTGGACGTCCAGTTCGGTCAGGGGGCGCGGCTGCACGCACAGACCCCCGCTCCTCTGCAGCTCCAGGAGACGGGACTGCACCTCCGCCCAGGGCACGGAGCCCAGGTCCTCCTAAAGAGAGGTGTCGGTGAGCACCGCAGACCGGATTCCCCTCCGTGGAGATGCCACAGGCAGGCGGCCTACAAACCGCCACACCCTCGCCAAGGCCAGAGCCGCAGCCCTCATGGCCTCCTCCTCACCCACGGACGCCTGGCTTTCAGCCCTCCTCGAACCCTGGGGGCCAACAGGAGTCCTTTGGCTTTCATTTCCTTCTGGAGTGTTCTGCTCCTGACCCTGGCTGTCACTCATGTAGCCATTAATCATGCGCTTCCTGGTGACACCCCTCCCTTTAAACTCCAGGTGTCAGACCCTGCTTCTCAGCTCCTTCAAACTGGCTGTTGCGAGGCAGTAGAGGAGGCTGAGATCTGAGGAGTGTGGTTCGCGAAGCCAGCCCAGGCAAGGAAGTCCACGAGACTCTTATCCCCAATTAACCAGTTTAAAGCCAGAAGTGGAGTGTCAACCTTGAGCAATAGAAGCTAAAAGACAGCACTCAGGCTCTGAGTTCAAGCCCCAGTACAGGCACCATCAAAAAGGAAAAGAAAAGCAGAGATCACACTGGCACTCTTCGATCCATCTCTGTCCACTGCCGGGCTGAGGAGTGCCTTTAACCAAAAACTTCCATTCAGAGCAAGAAACAGCAAGCACAAACAGAAGAGGGGCAGCATAAAAACCAGGCTCCCTTCCAGGAAGGCATACAAGCATTGCTCTTCCCTACTTCCTGTCCTGAGAACAACAAAATGCCCCTCATCTGACCTTCCAAACCCAACCAGAATGCCCTCTGCTCTAGAAAGTCAGGTGACAGCCCTTCCTCCAAGCACCCATTGTTTTTACACCATGGGCATATGACTATAAGTCATCTTGTATGACCCATATCAATAAAGGAGGTTAGTCTGGTGGCTCACACCTGTAATCCTGCCTACTCAGGAGGCTGAGATCTGAGGATTGCAGTTTAAAGCTAGCCCAGGCAAGAAAGTTCTCTGAACTACCAAAAAGGCAGAAGTAGAGCTATGGTAGACTGCTAACAATTAACAAAAAGATGCTCAAGGACAGTGCCCAGGCCCTGAACTCAAACCCCAGGACCAGCACTAACTAACTATACATAAATAAAGGAGAGCTGGAAATGTGGATTATTGATAGAGATTATTGATAGCCTGCATGAAGCCATGGGTTCAATTCCTCAGTATCGCATAAACAGAAAAAGGCAGAAATGGTGCTGTGGCTCAAGTGGTAGCCTTGAGCAAAAGCAGCTCAGGGACAGTGCCCAGGCCCCGAGTTCAAGCCCCAGGACTGGCAAAAAAAAAAAAAAAAATGAAGTGGAGCCTGTGGCCCAAAGTGGTAGAGCTGGGCTTCTGCAAATTACCCCAGGGGCAGTGCCCAGACCCTGAGTTTAAGCCCCACAACCAGCAATAAATAAACAATAAGGGTACCTGCCTCCTGACATTACTCTGGTCCAGGGCGCATTCCTAAAGGCCTCATTCCCCAGCTGGTCCTTCGTCTGTGTGCTGCCCCCTCCACCTCTCCTCTACCCACCCTTCCCTGTAGAGGCGCCTGCTCTGCTCACCGGAGGGATGTGCAAGGCTTCCCTGTAGAACACTTGGATGTCCCAGTAGCTGAAGAGGTTGCAGACTGAGCGAAGCAGCTGGAACAGCCAAAAGCCAGCAGCCAGGACCAAGAGGAAGACCAGCAGAGGACTGTCATGGATCCTGTATGGGGTTGGACAGGTCTTGGTGTAGAAAAGTGGAAAGCCCACAGAGATGGATACTGGGAGGAGTTTAAAAGACCAACAGTTCTCCAGGTGAAGTCCAAGTAAAGATCCCCCAAAAGGCCTTCACAGATGACTGCAAAGTTAATACTTTTTTGTATGGGGGTCGTGGGGCTTGAACTCAGAGCCTGGGTGTTGTCCCTGAGCTTTTTTTGCTCGACCACTTTAAGCCACAACTCCACTTCTGGTTTTATGATAGTTAATTGGAGATTAGAGTCTCATGGACTTCCTCATGGGCTGGCTTTGAACTGTGATCCTCAAATCTCAGCCTCCTGAGTAACTACGCTTACGGGATGAGCCACCAGTTCCAGCTAAGACATGTGCTTTCATAGACCTTAATGTTGACCTCGGCGGTGTGCACTAGTGACTCACACCTGTAATTCTAGTTACTCAGGAGGCTGAGATCTGAGATCAGAGTCAATGCCAGCCTGGGCAGGAAAGTCCATGAGATTCTTAGCTCCAGTTAGGCACACAAAAAAGCCAGGAGGCCGGGCACCAGTGGCTCACGCCTGTAATCCTAGCTACTCAGGAGGCTGAGATCTGAGGATTGTGGTTCAAAGCCAGCAGGGGAAGGAACATCTGTGAGACTCTTATCTCCAGTAAACCACTAGAAAACTGGCGCTGTGGCTCAAGCGGTAGAGCACTCACCTTGAGCTGAAGAGCACAGGGACAGCGCCCAGGCCCAGAGTTCAAGCCCCACGACTGACCAAAAAAAGAAAGAAAGAAAGAAAGAAAAAAGACAGGAGCTGCCAGGTGCTGGTGGCTTACGCCTGTATTTTTTTTTTTGGTGGTGGTGGGGAGGTCCGGTCATGGGGCCTGAACTCTAGGCCCCGGTGCTGTCCCTCAGCTCTTCAGCTGAAGGCTAGCACTCTACCACTTGAGCCTGAGCCACAGCGCCACTTCCGGCTTTTTTCTTTTCGCTTATGTGGTGCTGAGGAATCAAACCCAGGGCCTCAGGCATGCAAGGCAAGCGCTCTACCACTGAGCCACCTTCCCAGCCCCATGCCTGTAATTCTAACTACTCAGAAGGCTGAGATCTGAGAATTGTATTTTGAAGCCAGCCGGGGTTTTTTTTTGGAGTCCAGTCGTGGGGCCTGAACTCTGGGCATGGGCGCTGTCCCTCAGCTCTTCAGCTCAAGGCTAGTGCCCTACCACTTGAGCCACGGTGCCACTTCCGGCTTTTTTCTTTTTGCTTATGTGGTGCTGAGGAATCGAACCCAGGGCCTCAGGCATGCAAGGCAAGCCCTCTACCACTGAGCCAACTTCCCAGCCCAGTCTGTGAGACTCTTATGTCCACTTAATCACAGAAAAGTCTGGAGGTGGTGCTGTGGCTCAAGTGGTAGAGTGCTATAGCCTTGAACAAAAAAAAAAAAAGGAGCCCAGGGACAGCACCCAGGCCTAGAGTTCAAGCCCCAGAACAAGGGGGGAAGCCATAAGTGGAGCCATAAGTGGCTCAAGTAATAGAGTGCCAGCCAGCCTTGAGTGAAAAAGCCAAGGAGTACCCAGGTCCTGAGTACCCGCTCCAGTACCAGCACACACACAAACGAAACTAAAATGAAGTAACACTGACCTCAGGGCTGGGGATGTGGCTCAGTGGTACAACTGCGAAGAATACCAGAGGCTCTAGGTTTGGTCCTCATCACAAAAATAATCAAAGATGTCCTCACCTTTAATTTTTCACCAAGTAAATAAAAATAAACATGACTCCTAAACAAAGGCTCTTCACCAGTCTCCGTCACTCAGTGTACTTTAAAATTCACTTTAAGACTTGAAAGCAAGCCAGGTGCTAGTGGCTCACGCCTGTAATCCTAGCTACTCAGTTTGAGATCTGAGGATCATGGTTCAAAGCCAGCATGGGCAGGGAAGTCCATGAGACTCTTAGCTCCAATAAACCACTCAGAAAACTGGAAGTGGAGCTGAGTGGCTCAAGTGGTAGAGCGCTAGCCTTGAGCTGAAGAGCTGAGGGACAGTGCCCAGGCCCAGAGTTCAAGCCCCAAAAGATAGTGAGAGCTGATCTAGCCAAAGGGCAGCCACCCCCTCCCCCCCCCCCCCCCCCGCAACATGAATCCCAACCTCACTCACCTCTCGGCACACTGGGCTGAGGGCAGGATGGCATCTGACAGGGTCACCTTGTTATGGAATGGTCCAGATCTTGTCCGGTTATTTGGTTGGTTGGCAAAGAGAACATCGTAATCCACACAGCGAAGGAGGAAGGTGGTGAAGGTGACAATGAAAATGAATTGTCTGTGGTGGGAAGTGGCAGAGATTAGCTCGAGAATGAAATGGATCTCCCGCCCTGGTTCCCAGTCAAGCCTAGGGCGGTCCCCCTCTCTCCCCCGGAGCCCTGGGCTCGGGATGGACTAGAAGCAGCAGGCTTCACTACGGAGGGAAGCAAGGGGACAGAACTTGGATCAGTGTCTCACCCCAGCTGGAAGATGTCCTCCAGCAGGATGCAGACAAAGCCGTTCCGCTGGTGGTAGCTGTAGATGTGCCAAGCATGTCAAGAAATAAGCCAAAGACACAATGGGCCTTTCCCAAGATGCCTTGTGGAAGTTCACCTCCTGACCCACGGTACCCTCACAGAGTCTGCTAAGAATGTGCCAGATCCAAATGGGTCCCTCCTGAGCTACTACTCAGGAGGCTGAGATCAGGATTGCAGTTCGAAGCTAGTCCACACAGGAAAGTCCATGAGACTCTTATCTTCCCTAAACCCCCAAAAAGCTGGAAGTGGCGCTGTGGCTTAAATGGTAGGGCACTAGCCTTGAGCAAAAGAAGCTCAGGGACAGCACCTAGGCCGTGAGTTCAAGCCCCAGGCCTAGCACACACAAAGTGGGGGCGGGGGCTCCTCCCATGCCACCCCTGGCAAGCTGAGCACAAAGGATATCTTGGTGAAGAAGCTATCCAGGTTCTGGATGTGATGCCAGGAGCCTGGGCACAAAGGAAGCGCGTCAGCTCCGGGGTGGCTACCTGAGCCACCAGGCTTCCATCCCAGAGGCCCAGCGTGGGCTGAGCCCGCGTTCCCCCCCATCCCCAGGCTCCCACCCACCCCAGTCCCAGCCCCACTCACCCCGGAGCCCTTCGGGCACGTGCAGCAGCGGTTGCTGCTCCTCCCCGTGGAGGGGTGAATCTTGGGACCCCTCGGGGTCACAGTCCTCCAGTCGTTCATACTCCTGCTCAGGGATGAGAGGACCTATCCGCAGCCCAGGAGGGTCCTGGTGGCACCGACGGGAGGGAGGGGGGGTGCCCGAGGGTAGGGATGGGGTACAGTGGGATCCCCAAGATGGGGAGGCAGAGATGGGTGTCATTTGGGGCTGAGGTGAGGGAGTGGCGGCCACAGGGAGGGCATTTTGTCGAGGCTGAGAAGCCTCGGTCCCCTGCAGTGCCAGGCACGGGGAGCCCACAGAAGGAGAGTTCCGCGTGGAAGGGGAGCTTCTTGTAGTGCGAGGAGACAGAGAGAAGACAGAGATCCGCCCTCCCCCAGGTCCCCTACAGGGAGGAGCAGGCAGCGGCAGCGGCATGGGGAGCAGGGGCACGGAGCTGGGCCCCACGTCCCCCCACCTCCCCAGCCGCCCCCTGCTGCCCCCCCCACCCCCTGCGGCTCACCATCGAGTTGTGACTTCTCCTGAGAAGCTGAAGACTCCCGGGCTGTCGCGGTATCTACGGAGGTTGGTGGAGCTAAGTGAGGACTTCAACAAAGACAGGGATGACAACAACAACACAACCCGAGGTGACTCAGGCTGGGCTAGGCCTCCGGCGTCCCAGCTCGCGGTCACCTGTGATCACTCACCCTCCCTACAACCCGGGGCCAATCCTCTCCCGGCACAGCCTCCTCCACGCCCAGCAGGGACAGAGGATTGGGAGGCCACCACTGAAGATTTTATTGGGATAAGAAGATACACCTATTATCTCCACCTTCAAACTGAACCAGGACTCCTAACAAAATGAAAGCCACCTTGGCCTAAGTAAAACAAAGGAAACAACAACAACAAAAGTAGTATCTTATCACTGTCTTAAGTGTCTTCAGCCTGGTGCTGCCTGAGGTTTACGCCTGTAATCCTAGCTACTCAAGAAGCTGAGATCTGAGGATCACAGTTTGAGGCTAGTCCGGGGAAAGTAAGTTCCCGAAGACTCTGATCTTCAATAACTACTCAGAAAAAAGCCAGAAGTAGCACAGTGGATTAAGTAGTAGGACACTAACCTTGAGCAAAAGAAGTTCAGGGACAGCCCTTAGGCCCTGAATTCACACCATTCAATAAATGGCTCACTGTTTGGTTCACCTAAACACACTGGAAAGGGAAGTAGGGAGACTGGCTTGGCAGCCAGGTGGAGAAACCAAGGAAAGGAAGAAGTGAGGGAAGAAAAGCCTGCCTACTGCTTGAGATAATTTGAGAAAGGTGAAGTTGAACAGTAAGGTTCCGTGGAAGTTCCTTCTCTTAAAATATGGGTGCCTTCTCCTCCAAGTCCTGATTGGCTTTCTGGGGCCCCTGAGAAGCAGCAAAGCAGGAGTGGCAGAGGGGGACAGCCACAGACCCAGGAGTTGGAAGGATGGGCTGAGTTGAACTTCTTGTTGTCACCAAGATGGGGGCCCAGGTGGCTGGTCTGATGGCTTGCCCAACACCATTCCTAAGGCCCTGAGTCACCTGGTGCCCTACTGAAGCCGGATCTGAGGTGCAGCCAGCAGGTGTCAGAGGACCTCAGGGCTGGAGACTGAGGACTGACACAGGATGGACATAGGGCCAGTAACCAAGAAACAGAGAGGAAAACTGTGCTTTCTACATGGTTTCCTGGAGGAATGTGAAGGCGACTGTGGAATTGCCCCACAATTCATGTCCACGCTGCCTCTTTTCTCCTCGGTGCACCCTTTCTGGGAAAGAAATTGCCACTGCAGCTCTGGGCTTTCAGGCATTATGGTGGCCCAGCAGAACTATGAGAATCCTTATAACAGGTTGCAAAAAGGAATGCCATGTTGTAGAGGATGAGGGCAAGCCGGGGAGGGGGAGCCGGAAGGTTCTCATGATGAGACTTCTGACTGGGCCCTCTCACCTCACCCACCTGAGAGCAATTACTCAGCACCACTGACAGGGAAAGAATTACGATGACAGAAGGGGTGAATGACCAAGATCTTGTGATCTGACTTGTTGACTACTTAAAGAAAATAATGATGAAGGAACAGGAGGGAGAAGAAGAGGAGGAAGTAGTCAAGATGCGCATGGGAAAAGGAGTCCATAGTCAAACTGTAAGGTCCACCCTGGGAAGACGGGGCAGACAACTCCTCCTCTTGGTTAAGTTTCCGCCCAGTACCTGCATCACCTAGGTAAATGGCACACTTGGAGGCAGTCACCTCCCTCCCTCCCCCCGCCCCCGCCCCCGCCCCGTCACATCCAAATCCTGTGTGGCCACACTTTCTCCCACTCCTGGCCTCTATAAATCGTGGCCCAGCTGTGGTTCGACCCTTTTTTGTCCCTGCTGCATGGGCTTCCAACTTGGCCAGAGGTGAGCTACAGCTGGAAAATAAACCTTTGCCTGGCCTGAATACCACCTGCTGCTCTCTCTTTCCTCGGCTGCCGATTAATTTACATAACACAAACTAGAACCCTTCTCTAAACTCTTTAGGCTAATCTCAGCCTAATTCCCATTCACTATCCAACTCAGGCCTAAACTAACTCTCCCACTTTTCTCTTACAGACAATGGAGGATTAGGGAACTAGATGAACAAAGGAAAGCCACCCCAGCCCAGAAGTTAGCCCTGAGGAGGAGGAAGATAATGTAAACAAATAATTACACAGAAGAATAAACTCTAAACTCTAACTAGCTGGGCAGATAAGTAAATTTGAGCAAGAATGAGGAAATGCCTTGGGCTGCAAGATTCCATTTCCTAAAACCCTAAATGGCTCACGCCTGTAATCCAGACTACTAAAGAGGCTGAGATTTGAGGATTGCAGTTTGAAGTAAACCTGGGCAAGAAAGTCTGAGAGACTTTTTTTTTTTTTGTCGGTCATTGGGTTTGAACTCCAGCCTGGGCACTGTCCCTCAGCTCTTCAGCCCAAGGCTAGCGCTCTACCACTTGACCCACAGTGCTACTTCTGGTTTTTTGGTGGTTATTGGAGATAAGAATCTCACAGTCTTTCCTGCTGGCTTTGAACCTCGATCCTCAAATCTCAGCCTCCTGAATAGCTAGGATGACAGGCGTGAGCCACCAGCACCCAGCTTGTGAGACTTGTCAGTTAACCACCAGCAAACTGGAAGTGGCTCAAAGTGGTGGAGTGCTAGCCTTTAGAGAAAAAGCTTAGGAACAGCACTCTGGTCCTGAGTTCAAGCCCCACAACCAACCCCCCCAAAAAAGTAAGATGATCTGTGCCCTCCTGAAGTCCTCATATCAAGGTCTCTCTTGAGCCATGAGGGCATAAGGCTGCTATACAATCTTCTATGCTTGGCCCTAAACTGAACAGGGCAGAGGAGTAAATGCATAGAGACATCTGCCCTCAACTTTTTAAAAGCATAGGTGGGGATGGCCTGTGTTTAAAAAAAACATTTGCCTAACATGCCTGAGGTCCTGAGTTTAAAAAAAGAGTAGGGGGGGCTGGGAAGGTGGCTCAGTGGTAAAGCGCTTGCCTTGCATGCCAGAGGCCCTGGGTTCGATTCCTCAGCACCACATAAGCAAAAAAAAAAGAAAAAAGCCGGAAGTGGCACTGTGGCTCAAGTAGTAGGGTGCTAGCCTTGAGCTGAAGAGCTGAGGGACAGCGCCCAGGCCCAGAGTTCAGGCCCCACGACTGGACCCAAAAAAAAAAAAAAAAAAGAGTAGGGCTGGGGATGTGGCTTAATGGTAGTGCTTGCCTAGCATGCATGAAGCCCTGGGTTCAATTCCTCAGTACCATATACACAGAAAAAGCCAGAAGTGAAGCTCTGGCTCAAGTGGTAGAATGCTATTGAGCAAAAGAAGCTCAGGGACAGTGCAGAGGCCCTGAGTTCAAACCCCAGGATTTGCAAAAAAAAAAAAAAAAGTGTAGAGTGAGACACTGGCAGCTCACACCTGTAATCCTAGCTACTCAGAAGGCTAAGTGCTGAGGATCACAATTTGAAGCCAGCCTAGGCAGGAAAGTCCCTGAGATTCTTATCTCCAATTAACCACCAAAAAGCTGGAAGTGGAGCTATGGCTCAAGTAGCAAAAAAAGCTAAGGCACAGCACCCAGGAACCTCACTCTATTGGATAATAAAACCTCAAGCACCAACAACTTCCTATCTCACACCTCCAGGTGTAATTTTGCTTTGCTAATTACTCTTTTACTGTACCAGGGATCGTGTCCAAATCTTAGACACTGAAACCAAAGAACTGAGGGACACATAAAACATCCCAGCAACCCCTAACTGTTGCTTTTTTTTTGGGGGGGGGGAGTGGTTAGACAAGTCTGACAGACAGGTTAAGGGAGTCCTATCAGAGATAGATCTGAGGTTGCACCTTGAGAAATTTCAGCCTTTCTGTTCTGAAAAATTCAGTAATAGGAAGCCGGGCATCGGTGGCTCAGGCCTGAAATCCTAGCTACTCAGGAGATTGAGATCTGAGGATCGCAGTTAAAGGCAGCCGGGACAGGCACATCCCCGGAGACTCTCATCTCCAATAAACTACCAGAAAACCGGAAGTGGCGCATAAACTACCAGAAAACCGGAAGTGGCGCCGTGGCTCCAGTGGTAGAGCGCTCGCCTTGAGCTGAAGAGCTGAGGGACAGCGCCCAGGCCCAGAGTTCAAGCCCCACGACTGACAAAGAAAAAATTCATTAGGGAATCCAGATTAGAACGACCAGAGGGTTCCACACACACAGCCCGCCCCCGGAGTTCTGTCAGGCCGGAAGGGGAAGTGCTGGTAAATCACACGCTTTATGCTTTGGTTTGGTTTTGTGGATGTTCCCAGGCCCTGTGGGGTGTGGCGCCAGTCCTGCGGTTTGAACTCGGGGCCTGGGCGTTGTCCCTGGACTTTTTATAATTCAAGGTTGGAGCTCTGTCACTTGAGCCACAGCTCCACTTCCAGACGTTCGAGGTTAACTGGGGATGAGTGTCGAGGACTTCCCTGTCCAGGCAGGCTTCGAACCACGATCCTCGGCGCTCATCTCCCGAGGAGCTAAGATTGCAGGTGTGAGGCCGGGGCGCCCGGCTCCTCGGTGGATTTTTGCTCTACACCCTCGGGGGAGCCCCGTACACCTAGTGGGCGTGAGGAACATCAGGAAAACAGCCCGAGGTCAACAGCTGACGCGTCCCCGCGGCCCAGCCGAGTAGGAGTGCGAGCTGGGCACACCCGCCGAACGTCACTGAGCCGCTTCCTGCTCGGCCCCGCCCACAGGCCGGGGCGGGGAGAGGCGGAAATTCCCTCCAATCACAGTGCAGGAAGAAGGGGCCGGGTGGACAGCGTTTTCTCCAACCACCGCCTGCCATGAGATTGATGTGTCTTTCCACCAATCATCACCAAGGCGCGAGGGTGTTGTCGGGATGGAGGACCTAGCCAGCATGGAGCCTTAGGTGGGATGAGGGTGAAATTGTCGTTGCCGGCTGCTCCCGTCTTCCTGCCCCAACATGTTGGTGCATCTATTTCGGGTTGCGATACGGAGCAGCCCTGT